ACGATGTGGGAAGATTTGCATAACGCCGCCCAAATGTTCACGCAAATAAAGAAGGCGTAACTTTTATTCTCGCTGTAGTATTGTTGTTGCCGCCGCCGCCATGTCGTGAAGGCACTGTGTGATTCGATGTGAAAGCGAAACTACTTTGTTTGGCCTTCCAAAAGAGGACGATATCCGCTTCGTCATGCCTGGAGCTGATCCGTGCTGGTCGCTGAGGAAATACATCAACTTCGCGCTGTGGATCGCCGGATCGGCTTTCGGCTTTCACTGTGGACAAAGCGGAGTCCAGCCCGGGGTCGTCACATGTGGTTGCCGCAAGCCCGCCGGCCGCTCCTTCGTCGAATCCGCCGACCGCGCCGTTCTCAAGCCCGCCCGTCTCCGCTCACTCTAGCCCGCCGTGTGTTTCGTTGTGAAAGAGAAATGTGCAAAACCTCTTTAGCTATTAATGTTTACAAATAAAAAGTGGAACTAATACACGTTTTTAAAACATGGCGCTCATGCACAAAATGCTGAAAAAATAGTGACATGTGAACAACAATGTCCGTCTGCAGGTTTAAATTAAAAAAAAAAAAACTATCAAAAAGCAATGCAAAAGCATTCCACTGTTCCATTGCATGGTAATAGAATATAACCAAAGCCAAAAGTGGCCATATGTCCTGTCTGAATCAAAACACACCTTCTGGTTGAGGCACGTGCAAACATCCTGGTAAAGCTAAATGTTTCTTTTGGTTACTGGCTCTATTAAAAACCAACCAAGCCTGAGGATTATGAACAATTAGGGCGTCAACCAGAGATGAGGGCAACAAATAACACATTGAAAAGAGGTTGCCTGGTATGCTTTAAAGCAATGGGCAACAACAAAAAACAAACCTCTACTGCTTTAGGTGCATCAGCATAAATCTACAATTTGAACTAACTTCCCTCTATAATGCCTATCTTGCAGAATGTTGTGATCAATACTGAATCAAAAATATTTCAAGGACAGAAGTTTTATTTCCAGCATACTCTAGACTGATGTATAAAAATGTGAGGTCTACTTGTACATGGAATGACTCAGCCTGTCTAAAGCTCTCCAAAATAATTTTTCTGACAAACAAGTGCAAAGATAAAAGCCAGAGAACATCTACTTCAATCTTTTTTTAGATTGAGAGATGTGAAATTACATGCGTGTCCTCAGGCCTCTGAATTCTCCCTAAGATTGTGCAGATAATTCTTCTCAAAGTTTTTAAATTGGAATTTTCTCCCATTTAATTGGATAATGCTAAAAATGTAGCAAGTGGCGCTCTGGATAAGATTGCTATGAGCAGCAGACTACTTTCTTTTTGAACAAATTCGGATAACTAAAAAAAAAGAAAATACAACCACAATACAATTTAAAATACCCTTTTCATTTTAGAAACAAACTCAGACGCAAATCCGCAGCCTAATTACGTAAAACACAGACTGGGAAGCGCATCAAGCTGAAGCATATCATTTCATGATCTTCCCATTGTAATGCATGAAACAGAGGACTGAAATGTTTAACAGAATTCCATCACCACATTATCGGCTCTCTTCACCCCTCAGATGCAATGTTAAATTTTTCATGAATACCAAGCAGTAAAGATCTGATTAATGACTGAGAGCTGTGTAATAGTGTCAGTCACTGTGGCTAATCAAGAAGAATGCCACATGGTTAACCCATATTGAGGACTGTTTCTCAGGCAAAACACAGGAAAAATTTAAGTCATACATCTTCAGAATTCACTAAGGCGAGATTGTACCATTCGTCTCCTCAATCTACGAATGTTCCCCATCCGAATCCAAACCAACACTTTCAACTCGAGAAACACGTTTCAGGTTGCACAAGCCAACTTTTCCGATGATATACCATTGTTATCGATGTAGAAGAGACAGAAGAAGGGGGGCTTACCGATGCATACGTCAATTTTGCCCTTGATGGCGGCTTCATGGAGCGGAGTGTAATTCCAGTTGTCTCTGGCATTGGAATCGGCTCCTTGACAAAGCAACAAGCTGACCACCTCGGCGTGACCAAAGGAACAGGCGTTGTGCAGCGGGATCAAACCTCCATCGTCTCTTGCGTGCACATTTGCCCCCGTCTGCAGGAGATGTTCCACAACGTCTTTCCTTCCAAAACCTGCGAGACAAAAATGTCAGTTAATCAGGTTTACAACATACATATCAGCCAAGTCTAGCAAGAAAATCATTTTACACTAGTGCTGCTGTTCTTTCCATTGATTGTCAAATCTTATCTATGATTTTAGTCATGATATGAGAACCTGTTTCAACGGAAAACTGCTTTATTTTGGTTACAGACTGAGAATACTATTGGATATGAAGAGGAAGGAAATAAACCGGTTTCCCACAATAGACCACAATGACGTTTAATATGTGTGTACAAGGATCATTCAATAATTTTATTGATATAATGCATGCATTATAAGCATCCTAAAGAGGCAAATACCCTTCAGTGACATGCTTATTCCAACAAGAAATTTATTAGTTTACATTTAAAATAAAATATGTTTGGCAAGTACAGTTTTCCTTTCTGTGTCGACATATTTCCTACTGCAACAGGAAGCTGGGGCGGGACATATCAAATGGCTCCTTAATTTGTTTTAAAACAGCCTCTAAATAACCTAATGTAGTGGCTGCATTTACAAAGAGCATTTCTAGTTGAGCATAAAATGAAGAATGAACGTGTATATAGATATTTCAACATTATTATTATTAATTTGTAAAACAGTGTTTTGGGAGCTCTGGAGGATCACAAGTAACATGAGGAGGTCCGGTTTCAGTTTATCATACAATAATACGAACCCAAGTAAACATGAATTTAGGACATTCGAGGACAAATTGTAACTTTATTACGATGTTTATTATTTTTATGGATCATCTCCCGGTGCACTGCGGTTCATTCAGCCTGTATGTTTAACTTTATTCACTTTCGGCAACGCATCAAACGAAAACAAACACGAGCAGACCGATTTAGCTCGCGGAGTGGTTAACTTTCTACGAGATGTTGCATCCTGTTGGCCAACTTGGCCAAACTCTACTTTATTCCCCTTGAACCCTTTTCCTTTAAACCCATCTTAACGTTTATTTAGCGACTTAAACCGTCTACCTGGCTGCTTTCCAGGTCGAGATTGATCGCAAACATTTATATATTTGTATTTACCTGCAGCGAAGTGAAGCGGGGTGGACTTGCGCCCGGCCATGTCCTTTGCGTTTACATTGACCGAATCCACCAGCCTCTTCACCCGAGATACGTCCCCATTCCTGCAGGCCTCAAATATCTCCCTGAAAGCCCCACTCGTCCCGCAGACTCTGCCTCCAGGACTGGCACTACCGGAGTCGGGAGTGGAGTCCGCACTACTGCCCCCGCCGGTGGTAGACGAGCTAGTGCTGCTCGAGCTGGAGCTGCTGCTGCTGCTGAGGAGCGGAGCAGGGATTTCTGCAGTGATCTCCGGATCCCCGATGCTTTCCGGCTCCCCACCAGCCGCAGAGCCGCCGGTGTCTGTGGGTGATTCTGGAGGCGTGAGGGGACTGGGGTTGGGTCTTGGTGGGGAGGATAAGTTTTGTTGTTGTTGCTGCTGGGAAGTGCGACGAGACGTCGCCATTTTCGCACTCAAATCCCCCTCTGGCAGCGAAAACAGTCGGGGAGAACTTCCGGGAAGTGTCAGGGTAAAACTTCCGCTTGCAAATGACCAAAACGGACAAATAATATTTTTTGCTATCTGTGTCTTATCACCATGGTAACCACAGTTTCCGCCAGCTAAAATCAGGGGAGGCTTGGTATCATCAAATAAATAAACAAATAAATGAAATTAAACAAAAAGACAAATAAACAGGCAGAAATATATTGTTCTGAATATAAAACGACAAATAAATCTCTGTTAAGTGTTATGTAAGTAAATCTAGCCTACCTAAATGTTAGTCAGCAGAACTCAAAATAAAACATTCC